TTAAAACAACGTGCCGAAGAACAAGCGAAAAGTGGTAAACCAGATAAACCAACAAAACGACCAAATGGTATTCGTAGCGGAATGAATACTGTTACAGCATTAGTTGAAAAAAAGAAAGCACAATTGGTAATTTGAAAACCTTTTATATTTATAATTTTTCCAAAAATCTTTTCTCTTTATTTTTTTCTCTTCTCAGGTTCTTATTGCTCATGATGTTGAACCAATAGAACTTGTTCTTCATTTACCAACATTATGTCGTAAAATGGGTGTTCCATATTGTATTGTTAAAGGCAAAGCACGACTTGGACGTCTTGTTCATTTAAAAACATGTTCTTCATTAGCTTTAACTGATGTTAATTCTGAAGATAAATCTGGTTTAAATAAACTTATTGAAGCTGTTAAAACTAATTTTAATGATCGTTTTGATGAATTACGTCGTCATTGGGGTGGTGGTGTTTTAGGTAATAAATCTCAAGCACGTATTAATCGACTTGAACGTCTTAAAGCTCGTGAAGCAGCACATCAAAGAAATACTTAAAGAAAAAAAAAACAAACAAAGGCAAAACAACAATTTTATATGTGCTCAAGACAAGAAGAAAATTAATATAAAAATATATATAAGAACTTTTTGTTTTTATTTTGTGTGTATAGTTTTGATTGTAAAAGATCAGAATTTTTAAAATAAATCTACACACAAATCTAAACTGAAAAGATAAAAAAAAAAAACATTACAAAATTTCTTATTTTTTTTTCTTCATTTAGATAAAATAAAATAAAATATTGTTTGAAAGAAAAACAAAAAAGAAGAAACATTTTATTTATATGTATATATAAATAAATAATATTGTTATTAAATTCGACTTGATTGTTAAAAATATTTTAAGATAAATTAATTATTGGCTGTTTTTTTATTTAGAAAAATAAAATTTAAAATTGACAGGTAAATTATTTGTATAAGGTTTTAATTAGAGCTGTTAAATGATATTTTCTTTTAGTAGGGTAATGGGGAAATTTTCATCTTTTAAAATTGATAAGCTTTGAAACAACGAAGAATACTATGTAAAAATTTAATAGTGATCATTTTTTATATTAACAAGACAACCATGCGATATAATTCAAAAATTTTGCTACTATAACTAGGAGACCTGTAGAATGGAAAGCATCTAAGACAGTATGAGCCCATATTATGATTTGGCTGAGACTATAGAAATATTTTTGAAAATTTTCTGCAAGATTCTGATGTTTTAGTAAAATAATATTTTCAAATTTCAACCAGAAACTTTGTCGATATTAATATTTGGATTTATTAGATTATCCATATTGCATATAATATCTTTGGACAAGTGTTTTCAAAATCCAAATATCTGTGATACAAGGGTCAAACACTCTGAAGTTTTTTATAGAAGCTGGTTTAGTTAAAGTGTTGATGTGAGTTAAGTTTCAGATTGAAATACGAAAATATAAATTTACTGAATAATCAAAATTCTGCAAAGAAATATTTATAGATCTTTTTGAGTCGACACTATGTGCATTATTTTTTAATGCATGTCGTGCTTCTCTGAGAAACATTGGAAAAATTAACTTTTGAATTTTGACTTGAAACTTTGCACAGACACACGTCTTAACGAGAGTAGTTCATTGTGAAAATTTCAAGTATTTTGATTTGTTTCTGTCCTAAAATAAGAGGATCAAATCTGCCAGTTGATATGAAAGATACACTATTATCATATCTGTATCCTAGGATAGAAGTAGCAACAAAATCTGAAACATTCATATAAAACCTATTTTCGTTAAGGTCTGTCTCTATACAAAGTTTCAAGTCGAAATTCGAAAATTAGTTTTCCCAGTATTCCTGACAAGGACCACGACATTCATTTAAAATATATCGTCAAAGTGCAGTATCTTCTTAGCAATAAGCTTAGGGTATGAACTTTTTCCACGGTACTCATAACTCATTTGGGTTTACGCAATGCGCATAACCTTGGTTGAAAACCGATTTATCAGTTGGAAGAGTTCCCTTGCATGTAGAACTCATCGGGCTGCTCCCAGACTCAATAGACTCTATTCAAAAGCCGAAGTATAGTGAAAAAATAAAGCTCGATATACACTTATAAATATCGTTTTTCTTTCCGAAAAAATTAATTCAATTTGAAAAATCGAATGTCAAACAAAGATAAAATGAAAACCAACAAATATAATTCATCTATTCGAATATCTCTTCATAATTTTAGCTTACAATCTATTAAACTATTAAGTTGATTAATACATTTTTTCTTTCATTTTCAGATAAAAGAAAATATGTTTTTCTAAAGACTTCACGATGCAGAAAAAACGCGTTCAAGTAACAAAAACTTAAAATTAAATTCCAAAAAAAAAAAAAACGAATTTCGTCTGCTTTATTTAGCTATCATTTCTTATACGAAATGAAAATGAACGTCTGCATCGTGGTGGCATAAATGCACTTCGTTATGATGCAAAAAACGATCGGCTTTATACAGCTGGACGTGATTCAATCATTCGTGCATGGGATTGTAAACGTTATGGAGTATGATTTTAAATTATATTTTGGAATCTACAAAAAAACTTTTCTTTCAGTCTGATATGTATGAATATTCAATGGAACATCATACCGATTGGGTAAATGATATTGTTCTTGTTAATTCTGGAAAACATAGTAAGAAAATTTTCTAAATACAAGAAAAAAAAAACAGACGATTTATTTATATTTTGTAAATTTTTCAAGTACTTTCGGCATCAAGTGATGCAACAATTAAATTATGGAATGCACCAAAAGGAACATGTATGTCAACATTACGAACACATAAAGTAAAATAAAAATATTTTATTGTCTTTTTGAATAAATTTCTAATATTTAAGGATTTTGTTAAATGTTTGGCATATGCAAAAGATAAAGAACAAGTTGCAAGTGGAGGTTTTGATAATAATATATTTCTATGGGATGTTAATGTATTAACAGCTTTAACTGCTGTAAATAATACAGTAACAAGTAAATATAATCTTTTTTTTGCTGATTCAATCATTTATAAAATATTAAATTTTAGCTTCAACATTTACTGGTAACGAACATTCCGTATATAGTTTAGCAATGAATCCATCTGGTACGGTATTAGTTAGTGGTTCACCTGAAAATGTCGTAAGTTTTATTTTAAGAAAAAAAAAAACCATTTATTTATTTATTTATTTATTTATTCTCTATTGATTAGATCCGTGTTTATGATCCACGAACATGTACATTATTAATGAAATTAAAAGGACATACAGATAATATTCGTGCATTAGTTTTAAATCGAGATGGAACACAAGTAAAAAATAAATAATAAGATTTTATATAGAAGAAAAAAACGATAGAAAGAAATTCATTTCATTTTAGTGCATTTCAGCTAGTTCTGATCATTCAATACGTATATGGTCACTTGGTCAACAAAGATGTATTAGTAAACTTCATATACATTCAGATGCTGTTTGGACATTATGTGTATGTTTTTTTTCTAAAGAAAATCTTTTCTTTTCTTTGAGATTTATAAATATTTTTGTAGGTCAATGAAGCATTTACAAGACTTTATTCAAGTGGTCGTGATAGACGTGTTTATCTTACTGATTTAACAGATGCATCAAGAAGTGTTTGTGTTTGTCAAGAAACAGAACCTGTTCTTCGAGTAAAGATATATTTTATATGAATGAATTGTAACTTTTCAGCATGGTTCATGCGAAAGATTGAAAGTAGACCTGAACAATTTTTGAGCACTACAATTTATTATGCTCTATATCTCGCTTGTACAGCAAAATTTCCATGTATATTCGCCGGAATATTTTTTATCTGAGTGTAAACATATCATAAGAAATGTTATTTAATGAGAAAATCGATTATAACTCGCTGAAATTCTATGTAATAAAACTGCTTATGAATTCATAACCGACGTTTGCAATGAAAGTAGAGTCATTTTTTCAAATATGAAACGAGTTAAATAATATAAAATGCGCTTCATGTTGACTTACTACTATTTCTTGAAATATTACATTAAATATGTCTTCCTATAGATCGTAGTGGGTCGCTCAAAATCTATGTTCGGAATAAAATTAGGATGACTTTTAGGGCCCGTCAGATCTGGACGCAGTCGAACTGTACTGTGATATTCTCAATGAAATTTTCTAATCAGAATTGGATAGTCACTTCGATGGTACGATATAATTTATTTTTATGTAATGAAAAATATACCCTACACATTTCTCACACAATTCAAGCCCGCCGGGTTGGTCGCAGGTCCATATCCGGAATCAACTCGACGTGCACTAGTGACTTTCCACCATGAAATGGATTCAATTGTATAAAACAGTATCCATTTCGACTTACTCTCAATTAAAATACTACATGAGAATTATCGTTCTGCGTTGTGTCATATAATGTAAATTTTGTGAAAACAATATTTTAATGGGTAATACAATTTTAGGATGTATATTTGCATCAAAAGTTCTTCACGACAAAATTTTAGTACAAGTTCGCTTTTACGTTTTTTCGTCGAAAGAAAAAGTCACTCAGAAGAATCTTTTTTATTAGTTTTACTACAAAAAAACGAAAAAGTGTCTATGATACAGTATTTCAGATGAATAGGCATGTTTTTTAGTGTCCTTTGATTCTCAGGAAATTTTCTTTTCTTAGTGCATCAAATGGGATTTGTTCATAGCGTGAGGCTCATAAGCCTTCGACAGTATGAGTTAGAGAGCAGAAATTAGTTATGAGCATAGGTCGTTAAGAGACCAGTAACATATAAAGATCAATGAAAACAAAAGTTATTTGTTAAATATAGCTAAAATGTCAATCGTACCAAAAAAGTTGCAATTCATTTATATATTTGAATATTTAATGAAGAAAAAGAAACTTTTTTTTTTCTTAAGGTTGAACTTGGTAAAGAACAACAACAATTATGGGTTTCAACAACAGAATCAAATATACGTTGTTGGGTATTTTATGATTCATATATTAAATAATCATAGAATTCTGTTTTTCTTTTTATATTAGAATTTAAAAGATAGTCTTGCAACATTAACTCGTACGACTTATTATGATGGTGAAGTGATATGTAAACAACCAGATATGATTATACAAGGTGGTCCAGCACTTAAACATTATCATATTTTATCTGATAAACGACATATTATAACAAAAGATTCGAATAATAATGTTGCTCTTTATGATGTTTTACAAGTAATTTAAATATAAATTTAAAAAAAAAATAACACTTTGAATTTATTCGTATTGAATATTAATAGGCTAAAATGATAGAAAATCTTGGTAAATGTGATTATGAGGAAGAAATACGAAAACGTACAAAAACTATTTTTGTACCTAATTGGTTTTGTGTTGATCTTAAAGTTGGTGTAAGTGAATTATTTATATAAATAATTACAGAAACAAAACTTCAAATTGTTTGTATTTTAATTAGATTTTAACAATAACACTTGAAGAAAGTGATATTTTTGCTGCTTGGATCTCTGTTAAAGAAGTAGTAGAAAGTAGTCCAGCTGGAAATACGACTGAAATTGTTGATATTAAAGGTAAACTATTATCATATCCAGACACAGTATACAATTTCCATAATGCAGATGAACATGACTTATTTCCTATTGAAATCGTATTTTTTTTGATAGAAAGATAACTTTCTACTACTCGTCTGGTTCGGATCTGAAATTTTTCTGTTAAACAGAACCAGGTTCAAGAATTTTGGACTCAACAGACTCTAGTGTCTAGTTCCATTTTCACTCATGCGTATCTCATTGGATAGAGTATAATAAGATAAGAAAAACTTAAATGAAGAGTTTTTGATCTGCAATTTTGCCTATAGATAGATTTAATAGTCGTTAGATAGTTCTGAAAGTTTCAACGAAAATGAATACGTCTTTTTCGAGGTATTCAATTTAAAAAAAACAGCATTTTACCGTACGATATGTTCCTTTTCGTGAAAACTTTTGAGAACTAGTTAGGATGAATAGAAATGTATCTCCCGTAAGGTACAGCAAGCTCAATGTGGTCAGCCATAGGGTTCCCTGGCTGAATTTCGTTTGCTTGGGGCTTAAACCCTTAAGTAAATCATGTTGAAAAAAAAACAGCTTTTTCCTACTCAAAATGATGAGCTCTATCCTAATCTGAGCAGGAAAAAGATATCGGACATCAAACTAAATGATAAACTGACGATTTCAGACTAAAATGCCTATTTTAAGTTCTATGTTTGATTGTGCTCACGGTATTTTCTTGTGAAGCAGTATCATTCTCACAAGTAAACAGGATGAGTACAATCAAGTGTAGATCCTGAAATATGTATTTTCGCTTGAAATTACCAGTTTATCGTTTAATTTGACTTCAGATTTAAGTACAAAGTTAGCGAAGTTGAACCAGAGAATTTTATGATTGACTACATTAAGTTCACTGTATTCAACAGAAGATACAATTCTATTCATTCTAATCATCATATTCGTGATCGACATACTCAAATTGATTTGTCTAGGTATGTTGCGATTGGAATACAAGAAAAAAGTTTTTTTCGAATCTCTGCGGATACTCTAGATCCCATAAATTGTGATGTCATTTATTTCGCCCTTCATTCTTGGATTACGATCAGAAATCATCCTTGATTAGTGTCTAATACAAAATCTCAAATCTATATGAAACTGACAAACAGCAATATCCTCCATCATTCCTTCTTTTTTTTTCTATTTTGCTTTTTATTCCAACATAATCATATTTTGTTTAGAAAATTATGGTGTTTTAATGTTACATTCACTTTTTGAATATTGGCCAATAGTAAAACAAGCTTTAGGTTTTATAATTGAATTCTGTTGTTTTTTTGGTGTTCTATTAAATCAATTATGTTTCTTTTTATTTTAGAAGCAAATGATGGTTATGCAGAACGTGTTCATCTAGAAAATCTTTGTCATATACCTGGACATACACCTATTTTTCTTGGGTATATAATCAGAATGACAACAGAAAAAGTCGAATATAATTTTCTTTCTTTTTTTTTTTTTGTTTAATTTCAAAATAGTGAAATTGGCGGTCGTACACTTTATCGTTTTCGATGTAATGAAGCCAGTGGTGAACCGGAACAAAGTTTTTTACATGAAGTGTTACCTCAATTTATTATTAATGCTATTGTTAAAGTTAGTGTTTTTGTTTTTGTTTTCTTATCTTTTCTAATCTTGTTTTGTTTTTCTTTTTAGCATCAAGTTCCTCAATTAACAAAAATTCCATTTATTCTTCATCATCAAATTAGTAGTACAAAATTTAATAAAAAGTCAATTTTTTTTTATTTGTGTTTTATTATTATTTTTAAAAATTATATATATTTTATATTACAGAGATCGTTTATCAGCAAGTGATATTATGATTGTACGAAAAGTAATTGAATATATTTATGAACGATATGTTCTTAATGAACAACAGCAGCAACAACAACAACAATCACAACAACAACAGCAACAGCAACAACAACAAAATTTATCTACAACAACAACAACGGGAAATGGAACAAGTAAAATATTTTTATTATTAAATTGAAAGACCAAAAAAAATAAAATAAATTTTTTTCTTCTAGATCAACAAGATGGAACTGGTGAACAACAACGTGAATCAGATATTAGTAAAAGTGTTGATCATATTGAATTATTATGTCAAGATCAAGTTAGAATATTATATTTTCAAAGTTAAAATTTTTCTTTTTTGGTGTTTGTTATAGGTTTTAGATTTATCAATGGATTTAAGAACTGTTAAACATTTTATGTGGAAAGGAGGTGGTGATCTCGTTTTATGTTTTCGTACTAAATCTTAATTTATCTCTTTTTTTGTCATTGTATCATAATTTTAACTTTCTTTTTCTTTATATTATTTATTTTATCATCTTAAATTTTCCTTGCTTAAAATTGAACTAGTCATATATTTAAAGAAAAAATTCTATGAATATACAAAAAAAAAACAATATTGGAAAAAAATAGATGAATTTTTCCAGATAATGATTTTATTAAATGAATGATGGCAAACAATATGAAATCTGAAACAATGCTTATGTCAGGTAATTTTAATCTAATATGATTTTCATCATTAAACGAAATATACTAATTCAAGATATGCAGAACTGCGACCACAGGAAGGAGAAATTGCCGAGATCGGGTCTACGAAAGAAAAAATTATTGCAACCGAAACTAAAGATTATAGTTAAATATTCTATTGTTTTAAGAAAATTGTCTTATAAATTATATCGATCAGTGTATAATTCAAGATACAAATAAATTTTGAAATAGTATTCTCTAAACCAAGACTATAACTGGGCTCACTAGAAAAAGAAGTTACCGGAACGAATACCAAAGAAACTTGGTTCCGCACATCTCTAATTCTGATTAATTATGTTAAAAAAACACATCAAATTGTTAATGAATATTAATTAAGGATTATATTTCATATTTGATGTATAGAACAAGACGGATGAATTTTTTTGGTTAGACAATGGTACGATTGATGTTTGTCGGTGGTGTCTTTGTCAAATGAATGCTTCACGAACTTTATATCTTTGTATTTAAATATAATGTTGAAGAGATTCCTTTTTGATTTCTATCTAGAATATTCAATATCTTTTGAATATTTGTATGAGAAACATTTTGAAACTCATCACCAGTTTCATGTTTCTTGAACATTTTCAAAATTGATTCTAAAAAATTTTGTATATCTAATACTCGTTCTATATTATCAAATCTTATAAATTATGACTATCTTTCATTCCTAAAGATATTAAAAAGATTATTTTATTTATTCTAGGTGTGACAGTCGATTTTCCTTATAAACCTTATCCATGTCAAATAGCAATGCTTGGACGAATAATAAAAGCTTTACAACAATCAAAACATTGTCTTCTTGAATCACCAACAGGTACTGGAAAAACTTTAACTTTATTATGTGCATCATTAGCTTGGCAACAAAAAGAAATCGAACAACTTCGAATATCTTCATTAAATGAAAATACAGATAATGCAACAGAATCAACAACAAAACCAACACCAATTTCACGTATATTTTATTGTACACGTACACATAAACAACTTGAACAAGTAGCTAAACAACTTAGTAATACAATATATAAAGATAAAATTCGTATGACATTATTATCATCACGTGATAATTATTGTATACATCCAACTGTATCTAAAGGACCAAATAAAAATCATGAATGTATTAAAATAACACGACCTAATCAAGATAAATTTGGAGCAAATAGATTTAAAAGTGAATGTGGTTATTATGAACGTTTAAAAGGTAAAATAGCTAATGATTTTATTCGATCATATTCAAAACCATTACCACGTGTTTTTGACATTGAACAATTTTCTGACTATTGTCGAACAGCACATGGTATATGTCCATATTATACAAGTCGTTTATTAATACATGATGTACAAATTATTCTTTGTCCATATAATTATCTTATTGATCCACGTGTACGTAATTCAATGCAAATGTCAATAAACAATGCGATTATTATTATTGATGAAGGTAAAAAATCTGTTGGCATAATCCTGACGAGTAGAGAACTGCGGGTCTAAAGTTTTCTTTTTTTTTTGTCAGATCCGGATCCGCAAAAAACGCGGACTCGCAGCTCTCTACTGACGAGATTCAAATGTACAACATCTTATAGCTGCTGTTGCTAATCACAGGGAGGTTATTTTATTGGATCTACTTTGAGACACATTTCTTCGCCATCCTCTTACTTAATCCTCTAGACATGCAATAAGTAGTTCATATATCATTATTACGAGATGTTAGTGATACACAATCTGTGATTGTATATCAACAATGTTTGTCATAATGTATGATATTCCCATGGTAATGACTGCTACGATCTGTGAATTTTTACCCTTGTTCTTCAACATTCCTTTTAGATTGTATTTGACAAAAAAAAAATATTGTTCTATTGTTTTTTTCTTAGCCCATAATATTGAAGATTGTGCTCGTGAATCAATGAAATTTGAAATGAGAAAATATGATTTTGAACAAGCATTACAAGAAATATCTATGAATCAAAAAGCATTTGAAATAGCACAAGTTAAAGTAGCTCAATTAATTGTAAATGAATCAGGTTTTTCATCAACACAAGAACCACTTTCTTCAACACAATTAACAGTAACACAACAACAAGCAGCACGTCGTTCATCAGGATATTCTGAATATGATCAATTAAATGAAGAACCTGATTTACTTGAATATTTAAAT